AAATGTCCAATTTCAAGAATCATCTAGTGCCACGTGTGAAGCATATGTAGATTCTAGAACAAACTTTACACACACAAGCAATAGGCAGACAGAGGGAGCGAGAGTGTCGTCCAAGTCTCATCTCTCAGATTCTCTTTCTTTCTTTCTCTTTCAATTTCCGTTTCTGCAAATAAACGAGCAAAGAATAGCACATAACCAACTTACAACAAACAATATTCTCAATTATAAAGGCTGACCCTTTTTGTTTTCCTTTTGAGAAATCTTCCTTTTTGTTGAAAGGTAAGTCAAAACTAGTCCTTCTTCTTCTTCTTCTTCTTTTGTTTATCAGTTATGTTGCGAATTGAATCTGTATTTTTTTTTTGGTATATCTGATTAGTTTGAATCGTTGCATTATTCTTTCTATCAAGTCTTAGTTTTGCTGCCTCTGTGTGTGTGTGTATCTGTTTTGGCCCTGTAATCTATTTTTCTGTAATCTGGCGTTTAGTGTAGAGAAAGATGTTTTCTGTGGAATGTTTTGTATTTGAAAATATTTTTTTTGGATACTTTTTCTAGTGTTTGATTAGGTATAAAGTAGGTTGACATATGAGAATCCTACAAGGTGTAGAACAGGGAATGACCGAATGAGGATAGTATTTTTCGTGAAATATTTTAGCACTAAAGATTGGCAGTTATAAATAGATATTGATTGAAGTAACTGATAGAGGAAAATGATTCTGTAGCCTAAAATGCTGAGAAATTGAAAATTTTACGGAAACCTATTTCTGGTAAATTCGTGTAATTTGATTATGTTTTTCCTTATGTTTGTGATACAGAATTACTGCATCAAGTAGAAATTTCAAGATAGTTCAACTATTATGATAAAACTGTATTAATTGTACCTTACTAGAGCCAACTGGATAGAGATAATTTCTTTTTATTATATACTGATTCCTCAAAATGTATTACTGGAACTCTTGAAATCTCAACTATATATGTTGAAGGCCCTGAAGACTACGGCTGAAATGTGGTCTAGTGTCTATATCGGGTTTAAACTCATGCAATTTTTTGAGTTTCTAGTCAAAATAGAGAAGTATATAAGTTAAAACTGCTTATGGTGTAAATTCTTCTGCTACGGCAAACATTTGCTGTCTTCGTTGGACTGATTGCCATGTGAGACCGCCTATGTCATGCCTAGTTGCCAACTCTGACCGTACAATTTTTGCTATACATCTGAAGCTGATAAATAGCATATTTTTGAGATTGATGTAGTTTATGTTTCATATTTCCTCTCACAATTTTCAGGAGAAATAGAGTACGGACAAAAGTCGAAGTAAGCTTACATAAACTTTTTAGGGGGAAGGAAAAGCTGGTATTCTTTCTTCTGCAGCATCTTTAATGGAAATCAACGCTTATCAAACTCGTGCTGAACTGCTTCTTCGAAGCTACATGCTTTCAGATTCTTTCATTGTCTACTCTTCTGTTATTGGTGGCATTTTCGCATGCAAAATGGTATGATTAGTCCCTCTTTGTATCTTAACTTCTAATTGAGTAGTATTTCACATTTCTGCGCTTGACTTTAATGTATAGTCATGTTTACTGTGCTCAATCCTCTTGAGAAAATGTATACTTCATTGTTTTGTATTCCTAACATTTCTTAAATATCCGGTTGTTTCAGGTATATGATCTTAGCCAGATATTCACCTCTATTTACTTTAAGGGCTATGCTGGCCTCTCAAAATCCCGACAAGTCGAGTGGAATAACCGGTAATTAATCATTCTTTTCTCCTCATTTTTACTATTCTTTGTCATGGTCAAGTAAATATAAGCTTCACTTATGGTGTAGGTCCATATCTACGGTCCATGCTATTTTCATTACAGCCATGTCACTGTACTTGGCATTCTGGTCAGATCTTTTCTCTGATGATCAGCTCTCTGGCCTTGTCACTATGCGGAGTTCCACTTTATCAATTGTTGTATTGGGGGTGAGTGCTTTATTATCCACTCATGTTCTTGTTTTACCTATCACTACTGGTAAAAAGAGGGATTGTGCTATAAAAATGGTGACTGATTGGTATTAATTTGTTGGTAGAAATAAGGAATATATTATCACATTAGCGTATTTAACTTTAGTTAATAGGCCTTTTTGAGCATCACTGAGCTTTGATGTTAGTTAAAGTTATCTGTTCATACTTCTGTTACATTGCTGAAATTTCTAATAGTTCTAGGGAGTGGTCTTTTCAAGAACTTGCATTAAACGGAGCTCTTACATATTTGGTTAAGTTATCACTTTACATGGTTTCTTTCACAAGTAGGTTGTGAAAAGTTTAAAGAGGTGATTTTGGGGGCGTCTGTATCTGCATCACGATAAAGTTCCTTTTGCTAGGTTCCTTTAACCACACCCATTATTGTGCATTCACCTTTAGAACCTAGAGTTGTTCGTTGTAAAATTATCTGGATCACAAATGTCCAGCTGGGGTTCCTTGAATCCCCTCCCTTGTTTGTTCTTCTCATCTAATTACTTTTTTCTTAGGGGCTGAGGCACTTTAGCCAGTGAAAGTAATTCTTCCTCGTGTTTTTCTGTATTTTCTAGTCATATTACTTCTTTAGTGTCATCACATTTCTTCCATTTATAACTTAGCTCCAGGTTCGTTTATTATGTCACATCAGAATCACCCAGAACTTGTGGTTCAAATCAGCATGTTACTTGTTTTTTCATTCAGTGATTTTACATACAAAGAAAAGAGAAAAGATTAGTTAGTTGGTCAAAGAGTTAACAAAAGTAGAAAACCATGAGCATCAAGGACTTAAATCTTTGACCACATACTTCCTTCCTTTATATCAAAAGTTCAAATAGTGCTAAATTGCTATGTGTACTCTCTGTTGGACTGAATAATAACCAAACTGATATTGTATCTTCTAATGTATTCTGGTCATGAATGGGATTCTTATTATTGTTGAGTCTCCCAATTAGATGTTAGCAGGGGCGGTAGCAGTTTCTCTGAGGCAGTAGTAACGGTCTAATCGTGGAATCATACTAATGGAAATCTGTTATCTTTGGAATTGGCCACTGACATCTTTGGGTCTTGTGTGAGACACATAATAGCTTCAGACAGAACATTTAGGTCAGGTGTGTAAAGCTGATGCCATAGAGTTTTTCAAAGATGCAATTCATCAGAGAATGCCAATCTTGAAATTAGTGTTTGTGAGATGGTTAATCCTCTCTTTCTCTGTTTTTTATATGTTCTGGAAGCTTTTAAAATGTGATGTCCTTACATTTAATTTATTTTCATCTCCATTTACATGTTTCTCTCTCAACAGTTGTTTCTTTTGTAATCAATTTTATAATGTTTTCTTCGTAGGTTTCTTTGGGATATTTTCTTTCGGATCTCGCGATGATCTTTTGGTATTATCCTTCTTTAGGTGGACTGGAGTATGTAAGTACCTTTTGTTTTCCTTCAGTTTAATCTAGACTTGCATTTCCTTTGACTTGAAATATGAATTTCAACCTTTGTTTGGTGACTGAAGTATTTGTCATGCTTGTGCAGGTCGTTCATCACCTTCTTTCTATGGTAGCAGTAACATATGCAATATTGACTGGTGAGGGGCAGCTTTATGTGTACATGGTTTTAGTTTCTGAGGCAACTACACCTGGGATCAACTTGAGATGGTACCAATGGAATTATCAAAAACCGACTTGCTTCTTTACGAATTATCTTTCCCCGCATTCGATTTTCTTGACCAATCTTTTATGTCTGCAAAGGTATCTTGATGCAGCTGGATTGAAAAAGTCTAAAGCATACCTCCTAAATGGTTTCATGATGGTGTTTGCTTGGCTGGTATGTAAAGTATTTTCCTTCTTCTTTCTGTAATGACCGATTAAAACTTTTTGTCGAGTTTTTGTTTTCTTTCGCTACTGTCTTTATTACATACTAAATCATGGATCTTTATTGCAGGTTGCCAGAATATTGTTATTCATTTACTTGTTCTACCACGTCTACCTCCACTACGATCAGGTATATTCTAAATTAATGACGAGATTCTGATATTACACTTACAACGTTACAGCGCCTGCAAACTTTTGCTTTGCTAGTTTGCTCTATTTCATTTTCAAATGATCTTAGTTATCCAAGTTTGAAGTGATAGACCAAAGAGCTGTACATTAATCGAAATTCTGCTGAAAAACAAAATGTCTTTAAGTCTGCAGTTAATCGATTTCTTTTTTCGGATTGAAACAGGTTAAGCAGATGCATTCATTTGGGATTTTACTGATATCTGCCGTGCCATCGACTATTGGTGTGATGAACTTACTTTGGTTTTGGAAGATTGTGAAAGGACTTATGAAGACTTTAGCAAAGAGGCACTGAAGTTTGGACCAATTTCCTTGATAATACATCAAATGCCTTTTTTTTAAAACTTGTACATTTCAACCTGAGAAATATCAACCCTGGGAAAAAAGTAGCTTAGCAAGATCTGGGGTTTACATGAGGAAAAAATATTACTCAACTAGTTTCTTTCTGTACATAACAATTGTCGTTAAAAGAGATGAGATGTTTGGCAAAATGGCAATGTCATTCAAATAGAAAGAAAAAGAGAGAGAAAAGGCCTCATGCTTATTAAACAAACAAATTTTTCATCAAAATTAATAGTGATAAGCACTTAAGGATTGTGATCTGTTGGCCAATGAAGTAGGACGAGAATTATGAGGTCTTACTCAAATTCTAGTAGAGGTAAGAAATTTTTAGTGATTTATTCTCGTTTGTCCAAATTTTGTTGGATAAATTATGTACCTATGTTGGTGGATGGTAATAGTTATCCAATGAAATAGTCGAGGTTCGCTCAATATCAGCTATTTCGGGAAAAACAATTCTTTCACAAACTCTCTACATACACCAAACACAATTTTCTGAATTTCCATGTTCAATATCAGAGAGAGAAAAAGAAATTCTGAGTGTTGTAAGCACAATCTTTATTCTCAAAATTGAGGATATACTGATAAATAACTCTCTCAAAGTGTAGAAAAGGAAGGACCAAATGATAAGAATTAAATAATCCACTAGAATTTCTTTTTAATTCGTACAAAAACTACTGGGCGCCTAGACCTAGATACAAAGGCCAGTATTATTGCTATACCACAATGTACTATAAAATAAGACAAATAGTAATAGCTAGGGGACTACTCTATAATCTATATTAGCATAATTAACAATAGAAACATGAGGAAATAGATAAATCTAGATTAATGTGAGAATTGTCCTTAGTAGAGTTTTCAGATTGGGAATGTTGATAATCATCCAAATTAGGCCAAAAATTGATCTCCCTTTCACATTCACCTTCTTCTTCTTCTTCCTTTGTCATTCCACTACTTAAACTTCCTTGTGCTTCCTGGAAATTAATCACACAAATTAAGACAATGAAAATAATAAGTAATTTGATAAAGCTAGCTATCTTCTCAAATAATAACAAGGTTGGTTACATTAATGATCACTTTGACATTCACTTTATATTTAACTAAAGTCACTAAACTATTTTTTTTATACTTTGCACAAACTAGTTTAATAAACTTCGCTAATATTTAGGAAAAGCTGAGTGATCTTTATTTTTTACAAAGAATAGTTTAGTGAATTTCAGTGTAACAAAATAAAAGTTGAGTCACTACCTGTAAAATTCCCAACATAATTACATCAATCTTTTATCAGTGTTAGAGGAAATGAAATAAATCAAGAGTTAAAAAAAATCATCAGACCTGGTAGTCATAGCAATATACATTTTCAGCAATTTGGTCAGTATATTCATTTACCCCCCCTAATTTGTAAGACAATTGACTCCCAGGTTCTCTTAATGTTTCAGACACATGCCTGCAATGTGTAATGAAAAGTTATTCATTAGTGACATGAGAATACATACATATATATATATATACATATATATATATATATATGTATATATATATATATATATATATATATACATACATACAAATAATAACATGTTATTGTTATAAAGCACACTAAATATAATTTAGCTATTTAGAGATAACTAAAAGGAAATTTTACCTCCAACAGCAAAGGCATACACCCTATTTATTATAAACCAAAATTATTTTCTATAGCTATTTTTTATATTTTATAGCAAAATAAGTATTTATGGTATATACGATCATTGAAGCATGAAATAAGGCATGAAATACGCTATTTATGTTTTTCCTCTCTTAGATAGCTGGACATACCTATTTTTAAGGTGATTGCCGTTACTGTATTCATGAATACATGGCGCGAATACATGTGAATACATGCACGTCCAGCTGAACTGCCCTGATTTTAGGCGCTTTTTACTGATGTATTCATGAATACAGCAGCGCGAATACATGTGAATATATATGCGCGTACAACTGGACTACCCTGATTTTAGGCCGCTTTTTATTGTTGTATTCATGAATGCAGTAGCGCGAATACATGTGAATACATGCGCGTACAGCTTGACTACCCTGATTTTAGGCGCTTTTTGCTGCTGTATTCATGAATACATGACGCGAATACATGTGAATACATGCGCGTACAGCTTGACTACCCTGATTTTAGGCGCTTTTTGCTGCTGTATTCATGAATACATGACGCGAATACATGTGAATACATGCGCGTACGGATGGACTACCTGTTGTATTGAATACAGCATCGCGAATACAACGAATACACTAACGTAATAACTAAATAATAGATATAGGAAGTAATTATGTATATGGTAGGTATAAGAATTTAATAAACACTAAACAATAGTGATTTCTGATCGTTAGCACATGTCGGAGCAATGTTTGAAGAACAAATTATAGCATTATTAGCTTCGCTATGTCTACAGTTGCTAACACTAAAACTAAAACCTACCTATATTAGAAAAAAAGAAAGGGGTTAAGTTGGCCAGTTACATGTAAACTCGAGTTATATTACTACAAAGAATAATAACTGAGCAGCAAAAGTGGCCAATTTGATCACCAACCACCCGAATATATATAATTAAACCTCTTTATAATAGTTCAATTTGTTCCAATATAGTAAAATGTTGTTATAGAGAATATATATTATAATATACGGCAAAGGGCCAAATATACCCTTATACTTTCGAAAATGGTCTAAGAATACCCCTCGTTATACTATTGGGTTATCTATACCCCTACAGTCATACTTTGGGTTCAAATATACCCCTCATTTAAACGGATGGACACGTGTCAGCGTCCTGTTGGCCAATTCTAAATATCTCCTAATTAATTAAAAAGACCCATTACCCATACCCGAAAAGCAATTTTCTAAAGCAATTTTTTTTTTGTAAAGCTGGAAAAAACTGAAATATGTTTTACTGAAAAAAACGAAAATATAGTTTTTTCCTACAAAAAAACTGCTTTAAAAAAGCTGAAAAATATTTTTTAAAACAATATTTTTGTAAAAACTGAAAACCAATTTTCTAAAGCAATATTTTTATAAAAATAAAAAAAAAAAACTGAAAAGTAATTTTCTAAAGCAATGTTTTTGTAAAAACTGAAAAAACAAATATTTTCTTCTTTTTTTTTTTCAGTTTTTAGTTAAAAGAATTTCAGTTTTTTTTCAGTTTTTAATTGCTTTAGAAAATTGCTTTTTAGTTTTTTTTTTCAGTTTTTACAAAAACATTGCTTTAGAAAATTGCTTTTTAGTTTTTTTTTTCAGTTTTTACAAAAATATTGTTTTAGAAAATATTTTTTTACTTTTTTTTAAAGTAGTTATTTTGTAAAAACTGAAAAAAAAATATTTTTGTTTTTTTTCAGTTTTTAGTAAAAAATGATTTCAGTTTTTTCCAGCTTTTACAAAAAAAAAATTGCTTTAGAAAATTGCTTTTCGGGTATGAGTAATGTGTCTTTTTAATTAATTAGGAGATATTTAGAATTGACCAACAGGACAATGACACGTGCTCCTCCGTTTAAATGAGGGGTATATTTGAACCCAAAGTATGACCGCAGGGGTATAGATAACCTAATAGTATAACGAGGGGTATTCTTAGACCATTTTTAAATGTACAGGGATATATTTGAACATTTGCCGTATAATATAACATGAAAAAATGATTTCAAAGAAAATTTAATCGTTATAGTAAAATATTGTTATTGAGAGGCCCGATTGTTTTTTTTTTTAAGTTATCTCAAAGCAAAAAGTCAGATGTAAAGTTTCTTATAATTTGTCTTTTCTTCTTTTCACCCCTTTATTTTCTTTACAAAAGTGACGATTAGGTAGAAATAGCCACTCAAAGTCTATGGAGTTATTTACATTGAGTTGATTAATTAGCTGGCATATAAATTAAAACTAGCTGGGATTTTATTCATAACCAAAAGTCATAGTGTTTTGGTAAGCTAATCATGCACTAATTAATGTATTGATATCCAGGTCTTTCCTACTGCAGTCAAGTAAAGAGAATTTAAATTCATGCTGAAAAAACAAAAGAGAAACAGAATCAGACTCTGAAGTCTGCTAGTGAAATTAGATTTCATATGGGTAAAATTAAACTTCAAGATTGTGAAACATATTTGTAATTTAAGAAAGAGTTATAGTAATGATTAAACTAGGTTGATAATAATTTTTTTTTAAAATGAACTAGGAAGATAATATGGAAGTGTTAACTGAGTGAGAGATGTTAAAATATTATTAGTTACTGTCAAAAATTAAGGTGGGATGGATATGATCTATCTATATATCCTTAACCAGATGTCTGGGTTCGAATTTTGGGAATGAATAATTAAATTCTGGTATGGAACAGTTTCTCTTAAATGAGCCGCCTCACGCAGTATGAGAATTCGAATTAATTGGAACTCTAATACGGATACGCAACACCAAGCCAAAAATTAAAAAAAAGATATTGTTAGTAAAAATATGAAGATAGAGACTTACAGAGGGGAAGAAGACCTAACAATAGTGATGCTGGCTCGCTCTTTCAAGTTTCTGTACATCTGAATTTTCAGAAATTCAATCAAATCAAACAATGAGAAATTGAAAACAGCTTTAACTCAAAGACACCATATACGTGGAATGGGAAAACAAAGTTAAGATAAAAAGGTTACATAAAAGTGAAATTATAACAAAGAGAAAAACCGAAATTGTAACTTTGTAAGCCCCTCAAAAAGAAGACAAATTCAAAATAATTACTCAAGGGAAGCTATTATTGGTTGCGTTGATAACTTTTTTGCTTATACATTTTTTAAAAAATAATTTGCAACTCTGATACAATCCAGGGAGAACCACACCCGTCTCCCCCGACGACTGTGCGCTAGACTTTTCTAGCCCCGGGCGAACACTGCAATACCAACATCACCATCAATGGCACGCTGGATACGGAGGGTCCCTACCTTGCAATGGATCATAACATCCTTTCAATTAAACTTAGGGCTCGATAGAGTTTTAAAAGAAAAGGAAAGCAAAATAAATATTCTGATAAAAGAATGCTCATCGGTAAACTGGATTTCAAGCTTTTGAAAAATTATCTTTCAATAATTTTATAACTTTTAGGGCTAGCTAGCTATGCTTCATACCTAAGCTAGTCACTTATCTAATAAAAATATTTTATGCCAATTTCTGTAATTAATAAACAAAAAGTTACACACACAAGAACTGTTACATTTTATAACCGATCTAACATGCGATTTGGTCTAGCTTCAATAGGTATATGATTTTTACTGAAGTTTGTTGTGTTTGTAATATCATTACAATTAGGATGTTATTTTTAGATGGGCAGAGTTAGAGGGCAGGTTATGAGTTAATTTTGGTCCAAATAATATATTTGTCTAAAGAAATCTATTTAATATGTATATATTAGTAATTAATAATTTATTTTTAGTAAGCTTCAAATCTTGGTTCTATTTTGAACGTACCTTAGGTCACCAACAAGTGGGAAAGAATTTAAATTAAAGCTTTGGATTATGCAGCAATCTGATACTATCATTTGTTAATTATTTTGCACATCAAAGGAGCGAAAGAAAAGAATTATGCATTCTTAAGCTAAATATGGAAATACCTACGCCAAACTGATAGATATTAAATAAAATTGAGAGAAATATTGCGTTTAGATCATGCTCATTTTAAAAAAAAAAGAAAAAAAAAGAAGAAGCAAATGGCAAGTCTTTTTTGTTTTCTCGAAACAATCATACTACAGTATGTCAGTATTAAGAAGAAGAAAAACTTGCGCTTTTCTTTATAACTTGGATTGCTTAAAAAGTCATGATCTGTATACTGGAAAATTCTGGTTCCAAGAAAATTAAAAGAACAGAAAATTCCATTTAATAAATTTTAAATTTGATACTAATATAACAAAGAAAAAACCATATAGAATATCCTAGGGTATATAGTACCTGGAGATGGCTTTTAACATGAGAAATCTTCAATCCCTTTACTGCCATCATCTGTTGAATTCTCTTTGGAGTTGCTTCTGTCAAATTAAAAGCCAACAAATTTTACTAATATATCATCAATTCATCATTATTAACTAATGACGATTATCCCATATTTCTTTTCCATATACCCTAACGTGATTCTTGCTCTTTATAAGAGTCCTGCACCCTTTACCAGTGGCGGATACAGGATTTTCGTTAACGGGATTCAACATCAACTATATATACATTAAAAAAGAATTGAACTTATAAACAGTGTGATTTTCAGTAGAAGAGAGTTTGGATGAACCCCGTTCGGCCCCCTCACCCCCATTCCTAAACACCTCCACACCCCCCAAAACATCTACGGCGAGGGGCGAAGCCCCACTTTAGTTAAGGTGGTGGTCAATTGACCACCCTTTGTCGGAAAAATTATATGGTGTATATAGGTAAAATATTAGGTTTTAGAGGTATATAACATATATTGAACATTTTTTTATCGGATTATTTTTTTTTTACTTATTTCAAGTGTGAACTACCATAAAAAGAATTCTTGACTTCGCCACTGTCTATATGGGCTACATCCTTTCTTAGCACTTCTTATCTAAAGCCAAGACATCCAAATGATGAAATAGCTAGAAAGTGAAAAGGAGAACAAAAATGGATCAAGAAATAAACAACTAAACAACTGCAATATTAGAGGTAACCAAAAAAATAAAATAAAATAATCATTTTTCTGTAGTTGGAAATTACTTACTGTCACTTCCTCCAAGATGTTCAACAGCTTCAATGAAAAGTTGATGAAGCTCAGGCGTCCATCTCAAACGAGGAACTGAAGATTTCTTGTATTGTCTAACCCTTGATATTTTCTGAGAAGAACTGCTTTTCATTATTGAGAATTCCATCATCAAAACATAAATGGATTGGCCTAACTTGGATTATATATTATATATTTATAGAGAGAGATATATAAGTGGTTCCAACCAAAAAAAGAAAGAACAGAATTACGGCTAAGAGAGTCTGATATTTTGGACTTTTCTTAGTATGTGTGGACTTTGGGTACAATCCTTTCATTCCTTGCCATTTCCATTCCCTGTCACTTACGTTACCGGCATTTTTTTTGGCATGTCAATATTTGAAAAAAATAAACGAATGAATAGATTATTATAATTACAAGCAAAGTCATTTTTATATTTATACCCAATATTTTTATTTTGTATACTACTTATGTATACCTATTTTTAATAAAAATTTTGACAAACCGGTATCACGTGATACCGCTTGTTGCAAGGTAATATCCGCCCTCGGTTACCTGAAGCAAATTCAAGACTTAAATTTTATGGTTTTAAAATTATAGTAAATATTATACTGAGTTTTATAACATATATACAGAGCCAATACTATTGAATTCAAAAGAACTCTAGACTGCACCCCTTCACCCCCAAAAAAACAAAGAATAAAAAGAAAAAGAAACGACCAAAACCATAGAAAATTAATTAAAATATGGTAGTAGAAGCTATAGTTCTGTAAGGGATAGAATTTTTCTTTGTGAAAAGACTTCTGCACACGGTAATTTAATGAATAAAGACTTTTGATTATTAATGGTAGTACGAATATTAAATATATATATACGTAACACGGAAACTGCATTGAATCCTAAATGCATTATTAATATCTATTGGTCCCAAATAGAGATGGGGCTAATGCATCTTAACAATATAATGCCCTTAGTTAAGTTTTGACTGTTTGTTATTAACTTGGAAAAAACCGCATGTCGCTTTTGAATGTCAGAAAAGAAATTGTAGTATAAAAAAATGAAGAGCTAATATCCTTAATGGAACATATAGCTCAATCATTAATTACGTATTACAATATTTAACTCATATTCATTACATTTAATTTCTTCAATTTACACAATTACACCGTCGTGTCTTTTTAACATGTCATAGCATATAAATTATAATATGGCTTATGTTTTAGATATTACTAGTTCCACTTATTATGAATAACTAATAAAATGTAGTTACATTTCGAGTACTTAATAATGTAAAACTTATTTTACACTCTCTATATAAAAGTTAAATTCATTATTTAATTAATAGGAATAATTATGATGATAATGAACACAATGATTACAGATAGACCGGGAACCTAGAGTTTTTGATGTCAACTTATTTTTGGTGTTCTTAATATTGGTGTAAAGAGCTCCAAAATCATAAAACCAAAAATATTGAAACAAAAGAACATACAAAGTTGAAAGGTATGAACCAGGAAAAGGGAAGTTTTGTTTTGCCTTTTAATATAACTTGTCATATTCTCGTGTCAATAAAAGACGGTGCCAACTTTTGGCCCCATCTGCTTAATTATATTGGTCCTGATCTTATATTATGCCGTGTTCAACACAATAATTCTTTGCCAAATTCAACGTGCATGAAAAAAGTAGAAAAGAATAGAAGGTGAACCAAATTTCGTGAAAGCTACTGCTTTGGAATTAAATTAAAAGTGGAAGCTCACCATCATGTGCTCTATAAATGAAAATTTCCAAAACATTCTGCTTCCCATTTTAAGAAATTTTTCCTTAAAAGTGGAAGAAAGCTTAATTACGTTTAAGTTATTAAAATTTTCATTTCATACCTTATAATTAAGCTTAAGAATTAGTCGCTAGTTTTGGTGATTTAATGTTTGCAAGAAAAGAAGTGGCAGCTAGGTTGATAAAGAAGGGAATGTTTACAATATAGGGCTCGCCTCCTAAGTCATAGCTCTATCGCATCGGGCTTGCATAGTCGGTTTATATCTCTTGTATAATTCACGAGTTATTGCACAGTGAGCATGTTATCCAATGTGCACCTGAAGAATAGCGGTTGTGGTTTTCTCTAAGAAATTTCAAAAAAAAAAAATGATGAAAGAGTACGTCCTACGTAAGACTTCGTCTCACATTAAGTACTGTTATAATTACAAAAAAATCGTAAGAATGAAATCTAGTTAATTAATATGGGTCCGCATTACATGTTCAGGGAAATATAATGTCTCTAAATTATTTCATTAGATTCCAATTATCTTCTATCAAAGGCGGAGTCAAAATTTGAAGCTTATGGGTTCAAAATTGTAATCCGTTTAAGTTACTGAGTTCTAAATTAATAATTTATACATATTTAATAAATTTTTTAAATTAAATACATAGTTTGGACCAAAACTAATGGGTTCGACCGAACCCGTAAAACGTACGCTAGCTCCGCCTTTGCTATCAATACAAGTATTGTGTAACTATGTCCACTAGCCAATGCTCAAATAAATTGGATTAAAATAGAAAACGGTAACGAGGCACTAATTTCTTAGCTGTGTCGTGTATTTTTTATCTTTCAGAAAGAGTGTAGATTAAAGTTTTTACAAAAAGTCCAAAAAGAAGAAAGTTGTGATTAGGTTATGCTACGTACGAGTGTGAAAGTGTCTTTATGCTTAAATATACCACATATGATCTATTTTTCAAACCAATTTAAAAATGAACTTACTTAGAAACTCCATGCACGTAACCCGAAGATATGTGCAAAAGAAAAAAAAAATTGAAAACAACAAATAACCAAATGCAATTTCCGCAATAAACAATTGAGGAATATTTCACTCCTAGAAAATTATATCATGTATTTATATAAGCAATATTCCCTAATGAGTTGAAAAAAGAATTCTTCCAGTTTCTCCAAGACTCCAACTGCGTGCCTTTTCTATCCGAAAAAAGGGGCAATTTTTCATTCCGTTTTATTTATTAATAACCTTTGTTCTTGTTTTTTCCTTAAAAATAGTACCACAACTAATCCTGAAAGAGAATAAATGGTAAAAATTATATATCCTATCAAGGGAAAGTTTTGAGAATATTTTATTGTTCCTACATGTGTATAAACTTGGTTAGAATTCTTGCAGCCTAACAAAATAAAATTGTCCCATTATTCAACTGTGAATACCATTAAAGTTAGAGGCGAAAGGGCCACGGTTAAAGGTTGCGGAGAAATAGTAAATACTCTTGCATTCTTAATTAAAGGTCTCGTATTCAAATCCTGGATATGAAGTCATTTTTTATAGTAAATGCATTTGGATTAGTCGGACTCCAAAGTGATTTTGAACACCGTATGAAAAATAAAAACAATATATCATCTTTGACCAAATTAATTTGCTTGATAAAAACTATATATACGTAGCAATTAAGAATTTGTTGAATAAGATTCCTAGTAGTTCTTCGATTTGGAAAGGAGAATTTATCGAAAAGCTATTCTTATGGGACAATCAATAATTGAAACTTGAAAGGCCCATATGCCTAATACAGCAAAATGCGGCGCACATTTAAAATGTTTATCGTCCATGAGTCTAAAATGTTTAGTTTTGTGTCATTGTTTTTGTAGATTTGAGGATCCTTTTGGTTCATCCTATTGCCTAACATGGACGTGTTCTCTGAAGGACAAATCTGAATGAGTACATGATAAATAACGTATAGATTGAATCCGTCAAATATAAATTTTAGATTTCATTCTTGAAATCTTGAATACGCCTCTGATACCAATACAGATATTACTAGATAATTATGTTCATAAAAACTTGAACAAATAAAAAAAAATTACTTTCCGTTGAAATTTAAACCTTCATGTTCTCAATCCACACCACTCATTATTTACTACTACTATTAGATAAGTCGACGAATTGATGGAATAAATAACTAAAAAAGTACAGCTTCGACTTTAATTTCAACCACTTTCTCATCCTAAATTTTTCCACTTGGATCAATCATTTGACATTTGAAGATACAATCTTTTTGAAAAAGAAGCCCAAATATTTTGTCTGTTTCGCATATCTGCGCGTGGATTTTGAATCAATTAATATGCTTCTTTCTTCTAGAAGGATAATTAGGTTAATGGAAATCGACCAAAGAAAGTTAAAAATGTAAAAAAGAAACATAGTCATTAGCAAATAAGGTAATAATTGATTTAATTTAATTAAGAAACATGCCTTTTTTTAGAATTGAACATTTCAACCTTCAACTCTTTACTCATTGGAGGTGAGAAAGAAATAGAACAAAGAAAAGAAGTAATGTAGTTTGTAATTCTAGCAGAGAAATCTTTTTAGATAATTCACCACTAATTATATTTTCCCAAGCCTAGAGCACTAGGAATAGACATGAGAAAGAGATTGTGCCAAGGTGGTCAAAGCCCAATTATGAGAGTTTGGCTAACCCAATTCAACAAGTTTTAGGCCCATAGAGGGTTGCCCGGCCTAAACTTAAATATTCGGTTATATGATATGTGTATAATCTATGAATATCATAGATTAAAGAATTGCGAAACAATTTATATATGACGTACTTCAATTTTTATGTACTTTCAACACTTGCAAATCGATATCTAAGGTTAAAGCGAAAGCACTCAAAATTCTTTTACTTTGATTGTTTACTTTATTTTGGAATTCTACTTGTCATGTTTGGAGGAAAATAAATAAATAAATAATGGGACAACACGTGTATATGAAGCCGTCACCTCTTTCAAAATTTTGGAACGTACTTTGGGCCGTTTGGCAAAAAAAACAATTTTACTTTTTTCGAATTCAGTATTGGCCATAATATTTTTAAATTTCAGTTGAATTTCAAATTTTTTTAGAAACTTGAAAATTTTCACTTGGATAAATATTTTGTTTCCCCACTTGTGAGAATACAATGGTTTGTTGTTGTTGATAAATATTTTGTTTCCATTTATAACCTTGACTACTGGATGAGATGATTGACAACAGGCGATCTAGTCATAGAAATCTGGTCACATGATAATTTAAAAATTAAATGGAATGAAACTTGTCAATATATAGTGTTTGACTAAAACAGACTAAAGCAAAGGAAGGAATGAAACCACGACACTACTCACAAAGAATTTACGCCTTTTTAAGGTGTTTATAATATACTACACGGGATTTAGTCTGCCTATTT